TTCCACAAGGGTCCATTTTGGGACCCCTACTGTTTATAGTTTATATCAACAATCTACCAGCAGCAGTTGATGATGTTAATCTAATATTATATGCTGATGATACCACCCTAAGCACAGCTAACCGTAGATTAGCGACTGTGACTGGAAAGCTGGCCGCTGCACAATCAAATGCTCAGAACTGGTTTCATCGCAATGGCCTATATTTGAACAAAGACAAAACATCTACAATGATATTTTCCATGCGATATATTGGCATAGACAATCCTAACCACACTAAATTTCTAGGCATAACGTTGGATACAACTCTCTGCTGGGAAGCTCATGTTGATGTCTTAAGCAAGAAACTTGCAAAAACAATTTACCTATTACGTAAACTCAGTAGTATAGTGTCACTTAACATTAAAAAATTAGTATATTTCAGCCTATTCCAGAGCCATTTTGCGTATGCTCTTGCGACTTGGGGACATACAACACATCTTCCCAGAATTTTCAAACTTCAGAGGAAAGCAATTCGTATAATATCTAATGTGAACTATAGAGAAGATGTGAGGCAATATTACGTAGAACATGGAATCTTGACAGTTCCATCGCTCTATGTATACCAATGTTTAGTAAATGTGAAAACGCGCATTGAAAGCTACACGAAAAATCGCGACCACCATTGTTATAACACCAGACAGGGTGATGATATTTGCCTTGACTTTCGGAGAATAAATAAAAGTAGAAACTCCATCAATTACTATGGCCCTCAGTTTTACAACTGCCTACCCGATAATATTGCGTCACTACCAATGCCCCAGTTTCTAATAAAAATTAAAACATTGCTGTTAAAATCTCCACTTTATGATACTGATATAAGGTCAATTAAATCAGTATTTAATAAATAATGTGAAGTGGGTGCTGCTTCTATCTTTTATATTTGCTAAATGTTATGCTGTCCATATGCACATGTATGTTTTGTACCACGTGCATATTTATTGTCGATATGACATACTGTCTTGACATTGCTGAAATGTATCATTTCTTAAGGCACAATAAAACCTATTATTATTATTATTATTATTATTAATTTTTCTTTTTTCAATCTTATATTACAATTTTTTGTTTCTCCAATTTTTGATTTGCAATTTTTCTAGTTTTCATTTTAAATATGTAGTAATAATTTGGATGTTTTGATTTTTTGATTTGCAGTTTTTCAGTTTTCAATTTTTCGATTTTTTCAACTTTTAGATTTTTTTTCATTCTTAAATTTTTACATTTTTGTTTCTTCAATTTGTTCAGCAGTTTCCCAATTTTCCAACTTTTGAATCTTTCAGTTTTCAGATTTTGCAATTTTTCAATTTGAGTTTCTCGAGTTTTCAATTTCTAATTTTTCAATTTTTCCTTTTGTTCCGATGTTTTACTTTCCTTATTTTTTCAATTATTTGATTTTTCAATCTTTTGAATTTATAATTTTTTGTTTTTCGATTTTCCAAATTTTGGATTTTCAATTTTTGCGATTCACGACTTTTCAGTTTTTAATTTTTCAGTTTTTCGGTTTGCAAATTTTCGTTTCGGTTCTTTTGTTTTCTTTTTTTTTCAATTTTTCAGTTTTTCAATGTTCTTATATCATATATTTTTTTCAATGTCAAATTTTTCAATTTTTGGATGTTTTGATTTTTTTTTATTTGCAGTTTTTCGGTTTTCAACTTCAAGTTTTTTGAACTTTCCAATTTTTCAATTTTTGTTTTCTTTTGATTCTTGCATTTTTCAATTTTTCGTTTCTTCAAATTTTTCAGCAGTTTTTCAATTTTCTAACTTTTGAATCTTTGAGTTTTTAGATTTTGAAAATTTTCAATTTGCAGTTTTTCAGTTTTCTATTTTTCAACTTTTAGGTCTTTTTATTTTTCTTTTTTCAATCTTAAATTTTTCAATTTTTCGTTTCTTCAATTTTTGATTTGCAATTTTTCTAGTTTTCATTTTAAATATGTAGTAATAATTTTAATTTCAAAAATGTTTTCCTTTTTTAGTTATTGGATTGTAAAACTGTTTTATTTATTGGATTTTTCCATTTTCCATTTCTTCGATTTTCTGCGATTTTTCAATTTTTCGTTTTTATGGTTTTTTGAATTTTACGATACGCAAGCAACTCTCGGAGTTTTCATTTTAAAATTATTCTGTTTTTCGATTTTCCAAATTTTGGATGTTTCAATTTTCAGATTTGTCCTTTAACAAGTTTTCAGTTTTAAATTTTTCAATTTTTCAATTTTCCACCATGTCTTCAATTTCTCGATTTCCAATTTTTCGTTTCAATATTTTATTTTCCTTATTTTTTTTTAATTTTTTCAATGTGTCAATGTTCTTATAAATTATATATTTTTTTCAATGTCACCTTTTTCAATTTTTGGATGTTTTGATTTTTTAATTTTTGTGTTCTTTTCAATTTCAGATTTTTATAATTTATCGTTTCTTCAATTTTTTCAGCAGTTTTCCAATTTTCCAACTTTTAAATCTCTCAGTTTTTAGATTTTGCAATTTTTCAATTTGAGTTCCACCAGTTTTGAATTTTTTATTTTTCAATTTTTCGTTTCGTTTCCGTGTTTTTTTTTGGTTGTTTTTTCAATTTTTTGATTTTTTAATCTCTTGATTTTATAATTTTTTGTTTTCTCAATTTCAATTTGTTCAATTCTTCGATTTGCAATTTTTCATTTTTCTGGTTTTTTGAATTTCACGATATACAACTGAGCTTTCATTTTTAAATTTTCAGATTTTCAATTTTTCAAACAATGGATTTTCAATTTTTACGGTTTCACGAGTTTTCAGTTTTTCGATTTGCAATTTTTCGTTTCTGGTTTTTATTTTCTTTATTTTTTTCAATTATTCAGTTTTTCAATGCTCTGATTTTATAATTGTTCTTTTTTCAATGTGAAATTTTTCAACCTTTAGATTTTTTAATTTTTCTTTTTCAACCTTAAATTTTTGATTGGCAATTTTTCTAGTTTTCAGATTAAATATGTAGTAATAATTATAATTTTTTAAAATTTTCCCGTTTTCCGTGATTGAATTTCAAAAATTTTCATTTATTCGATTTTTCAATGTTTCTATTTCAAAATTTTTTGTTTTTTCAATTTTTCATTTTTATGATTTTTTGAATTTTACGAAATGCAGGTTTTAATTTTAAAATTTTTCAGTTTTTCAATTTTCCAAATTTTTGAGATTTCAATTTTTAGATTTGCCCTTTTACAAGTTTTCAATTTTTAATTTTTCAAAGTTTAAAATTTTCAATTTTTCATGTCTTAAATTTTTCGATTTTATTCCCTTTTTCATTCTTTTGGTTTTTTGAATTTTACGGTGTGCAAAAAACTCATCGAATTTTCATTTTAAAATTTTTCAATTTTTCGATTTTCCAAATTTTTAATATATATTTGCATTTTTTCGATATTTCAGCTTTTAGATTTTTTAATTTTTATTTTTTTTTCTGGTTTAGATTTTTCAATTTTTCATTTCTTCATTTCTTCAATTTCCGAGTTGCAATTTTTCTAGTTTTCATTTTAAATTTATGTCATAATAATTAATTTTTAACTATTTTCCGTTTTTAATTTTAAAATTTTCGAATTTTTCCATTTTTCAATTTTTTGTTTTAAAACTTTTTCATTTTGGATTTTTCAATTTTTCGAATTATAATTTTCCGATTTCTCCATATTTAATTTTTTAATTTTACACCATCCAATGTTGCAGTTTTTCGACTTTACAATTTTGACGATTGTACAATTTTTGAGTTTTACAATTTTTGGATTCGATTCGCTTTTATATTTTCCAATTTTTCGATTCATTGATTTTTTCGATTTTTAACTCTCGATTTTTCGTGTTACAATGTTTCACTTTTTAATTTTTCAGTTCTTCGATTTCCAATTTTTCGATTTTCTACTTTTTGGATTTTGCAATTTTTCGAATAAAAAAAAGTGGGAAAAATTACAAAATTGTAAAACTGAAAAATCAAAAATGAAAAAACGAAAAGTAATAAATGAAAACTTCGAAAAATTAAAAACTGGAAACCAAGAATCTGAAAAATTGAAGAAACAAGAAAATTGAAAAATCGGAAGATTATAAAATTAGTAAACTTAAAAATCAAAAAAATGCAGAACGAAAAAATACTGAAAACTAAAAAAATCGGAAAATCGGATAAATGGAAATTCAAAAATTGCAGAATTGAAACATTTTAAAATTGGAAAATCGAGGAACTGAAAAATCAAAGATTGAAAAATTGAATAAACGAGAAATTACAAAATCGAAAAAAAACATTAAAAAATAAAGAAAATGAAAAAACGAAAAATTGTGATATAAAATCGGGAAAATGAAAATGAAAAAAAAAACTGAAAAATAAAATCAAGAAATTGAAAAAATAGGGAAGCAAAAAATTGAAAAATAAAATACGAGAAACTGAAAATTCGAAAAATGAAAATTGTAACATCGAAAAATTACCGAATTGAAAAATTACTAATCGCAAAATTAAAGAAATGAAAAATTGTGATATAAAATCTAAAAAATGAAAATTAATAAAACTTGAAAAATCGTAGAATAAAAAATGTAATACGTTAATACACATATAAAATTTGACAACAATCAGTCCAGTAGTTTCGATTATTATGTGTTTAATACACAAAACAGACAGACAGACAGATGGAAGAGACCACTTTTTTCGTACTCTAGAGGTCATAAATCATCAACAAACAATGAAAGTGCCAAATCGCCCGATTACTACACTTCCTTAACTCACTCTCAGGAAGTATAAACCCATCTCTACCACGAAATAAACCTCCAACACGAAATTCCTAATTCCCCCCCACACCTATTAAATCTCACGATATTATCATCTCCTAACAACCATAATAATGAATAGCAATGAAGAGCAAAACAATTTCGCTCGGCACAACAGTAACGAGATCCTCATTACCCACCTTAATCTTCTCCAATAAAAATGTAAATCTCCCACAACTAAAACTTACGCCATCATGTTTCAGCTCGAAAAATGGCTCCCATCATCAGACACTTTTTCCTGATTTGGCTCGTCAGCGCGGCGAACGCCTCCGCTATTCCCGATGATCTCCTGGATGAATACGTCAGACACGTAGACAGCGTAAATAGGATAAGTGAAAAACCAAATAAATTAGACCAAAGATCAGCACCCAGACGGATTCGACGCGACGTTCCAAACCAGTGGACCCATTCGGAAGCCTTGGATAACGAGGGAGACGTGGTATTGAGATGGCAGCCGAGGCACCGGGAGATCCTGTTTAGGGTCGAGGCCAGGACGAAGGGATACGTCGCGGTGGGGTTCAGTCCTGACGGGGGGAAGGAGCACGCGGATATTGTTATGGGATGGGTGGACGACCATTCGCTGAGGGCGTACCTTCTGGTAAGTGAAAAAATTACGTTAGAAGGTCCACAGCTTTTTCTGTGAAGTTCTGTGTCTCAGATTTTCCCAACAAAATTCTCTTATATCCAATTTTGTTGCAGTGAATCTTGCTGAAACAAATTCTTAGTTAGGATTTATCAATTTATCCCTTCCAAAAACTTGATGAAATTTTTCACACGTGATAAGGTCGTGAACATGATAAATTCCTAATCAGAATAAATTCGTTTATTTCCTCTAAAAACTTCATGACGTCATCACCTCATAGATTTGACCTTTTAACTTTTTCAAACTTAGTAGATTTACTAATATTTATTATTTTTCCAAAAACTTATATTATTTTATGCTGAAGATATCGGCTTAAAAGTTAACTAAAACATTTTGTTTAACCAGGATTGACGAACTAAGTATAAAGCTGATCAAAGCATGATTTATCTACGTATCATTTGTTATAATAATTGACAATAAGAGAAATTTTGAATGAAAATATACCACAAACAGATATTAAAGAATTTGAGGTTAGCCCAGATCAGATCAGATCAGATCAAATCCTCATGGGCGAAAACTAGATCAGTCAACTTTATTTACAATACAGTGGGATTATCTAATGTTAATTAATGATAACAACTCGAATTCAAAATCGGTTATTTCCAAAATTCTAATCGTTTTAAAATAGGCAACAATTTGTAACATGTCAGTGAAGCATAAAATTAACGTTTGCGTTATGAAGTGTATATTGTTATAATATATAACAATGAAATTACTGAAATTTTATAAAATAACATCCACCTATACTTGTGGTTTATGAATCGGCCTTGACTTTTGATCACATTGAATTGACAAAAATATTTGTGCAATATTTGCCACTTGTTTCACGTAGCCGCTATCTGATTAATTTACGTTGTTTCCGAGTGGTTAAGGCGTTGAACTTGAGCTTTGTCCGCGTGGGTTCTAATCCCACCCCCGTCAACATTTTTATAACTTATAGGGGTTATAAAATCAATAAAAATTGGTACCCCACTTTTTCTAATAATACATCCTGTATATTATTACTTTATTTTATTTTGCTTTTTTTATTTTTTTTCTCTCGATGTTTTGGTATCTGTTAAAAAAATTAAAATAGAAACTAAAGAGAATAAACAATAGAAGAAGTAGTAAAATATAGGAACTTCTATGTGAAAAAAACTGCAATAGTATATTTGAAATGATATTTATAAAGACTCTATATTTTTGAAAATCGACAAACTAACTAAAAATAGACATACTAACTCTGTATGGTAGTTTGATAACTATATAGTAAATTATTTTCAACTATACAGAGTGTTCTGTTTATGGAAAATAACACACTTTAATTTATTTTAATGGAACACATTTGGCATTTTTTTATTTTCTCACTGGGCCTTTATTAGGAGTTTGAGACTGATTGTGGCAAACGACATACCCTCTAAAAAAATAGAGGGCGGGTGGGCGGGGGTTGTACTTGTTAAGATAAGACTGATTTTGGTAAATGACTGAACAATATTAAGAGCAATCACTGGAATGAAGAAGGGGTGGGTGGGCGGGGCTATTGCTTGCTGATAAAAAATTCTATATGAAAAAGTTAAACTTAGCCCCGCCCACCCACCCGTTCTCTCTTTTTTTTTCTCCAGAGATAAGAAATAACTATTTAGTACAACAAAAAAATACGATGAACGCTTTTTTACAGCCTACGTTCTACTAGTTCCCATTCTCACTTAACAAAAAAACATGATTTACCCCGCCCACCCACCCCGTCTCCATTTCAGTGATTCATTTTGTCTAGTCCGATTGAAGGGTGGATCTTAATTGATGGGAGACAAAATCGTTATAATGAGAACAGTGGTATGGGCGGGGCTACTACTTGTTAAGATAAGATTGATTTTGGTAAATGCCATATTCTCTAAGAAAAAAACGAGTGGGTGGGCGGGGCTAAAACTTGCTAGGATAGACTGAACAATATTAAGAGTAGTGACTGGAATGAAGAGGGGGTGGTTGGGTGGGGGTACTGCTTGCTTATAAAATATTCTGTACGGAAAAGTTAAACTTAACCCCGCCCACCCACCCGTTCTCTCATTTTTCTCTTCAGAAATAAGAAATAAATGTTGTAATAAATAAGTAGTATAACAAAAAACTACGATTAATGTTTCTATTAGTTCCCATTCTCAGTTCAGAAAAGAACATATAATTTACCCCGCCCACCCACCCCGCGTTCATTTCAGTGATTCATTTTGCCTAGTCCCAACGAAAAAAAAAAAATAAAAAATACAGGATGTTCCCTTTGAAAAAACTGAAATATCGTATTTGCAAATTGTAATATTTTTGAATTTGTTATAAACAGTCTGTATATTAATACTATAGATTTTCCCGTCCACGAGTTTTCAATTTTTAATTCTTCAGTTTCAAATTTTCAATTTCTAATGTCTTAAATTTTTCAATTTTTTTCCACTTTTTCGTTTAATTTTAAAACTCTTTTATTCGATTTTTCAATGTTTCGATTTTTTTTTCAATTTTAGTTCTTCAATTTTTCGTTTGTGATTTTTCAATTTTTGATTTTTTTGATTTTTTCAATTTTACGTTGTGCAAAAAACTCTTCGAATTTTCATTTTAAAATTTTTCAGTTTTTTGAGTTTCTAAATTTTTGATGTTTCAATTCATAGTTTATTTTTAGAATTCAGTTTTATTTGAAATCGGGTTATTATTACTTCCCGAGCTTAAGCAAAGTTATTTTGTTAAACGTTCAAATTTTTGCAAAAACATTTGCAAGGTATAATAACGTTTTATTCCCGACACGGTTTGAACGTCTCCCTGGTACAGTGGGTGTATCATAGAGAACGGCGACCTGCGGTTGTGGGTTTGCTACCTACCTACCCTCTAAGAAAATAGAGGGCGGGTGGGCGGGGGTTGTGCTTGTTAAGATAAGACTGATTTTGGTAAATGACTGAACAATATTAAGAGTAATCACTGGAATGAAGAAGGCGTGGGTGGGCGGGGCTATTGCTTGCTGATAAAAGATTCTATATGTAAAAGTTAAACTTAGCCCCGCCCACCCACCCGTTCTCTCTTTTTTTTTTCTCCAGAAATAAGAAATAAGTATTTAGTACAACAAAAAAAATACGATGAACGCTTTTTTACAGCCTACGTTCTATTAGTTCCCATTCTCACTTAACAAAAAACATACAATTTACCCCGCCCACCCACCCCGTCTCCGTTTCAGTGATTCATTTTGTCTAGTCCGAATGAAGAGTGGATCTCAATTGATGAGAGACAAAATCGTTATAATGAGAACAGTGTGTATGGGCGGGGCTCGTATCTGCTAAGATGAGATTGATTTTAGTAAATGACGTACCCTCTAAAAAAATAAAGGGTGAGTGGGAGGGGCTAGTAATTGCTTGTAATAGATTGATTGTGACAAACAGCATATCCTCTAAGAAAATAGAGGGCGGGTGGGCGGCGCTAGTACTTGTTAAGATAAGATTGATTTTGGTAAATGCCATTCCTGTAAGAAAAAAACGGGTGGGTTGGCGGGGCTAAAACTTGCTAGGATAGGACTGAACAATATTAAGAGTAGTCACTGGAATGAAGAGAGGGTGGGTGGGCGGGGCTATTGCTTGTTTATAAAAGATTCTGTAGGAAAAAGTTAAACTTAACCCCGCCCACCCACCCGTTCTCTAATTTTTTTGTTTAGAAATAAAAAATAAATGTTATAGCAAATAAGTAGAATAACAGAAAACTACGATTAATGTTTTTTTAACAGACTACGTTCTATTAGTTCCCATTCTCACTTCACAAAAAACATACAATTTACCCCGCCCACCCATCCATTCTCCATTTCAGTGATTCATTTTATCTAGTCCGAATGAAGGGTGGATTTCAATTGATGAGAGACCAAATCGTTATAATGAGAACAGCGTGTGTGGGCGGGGCTAGAATTTGCTAAGATACGATTGATTTTGGTAAATGACATACCCTCTAAGAAAATAGAGGGCGGGTGGGTGGCGCTAGTACTTGCTAAGATAAGATTGATTTTGGTAAATGCCATTCCTGTAAGAAAAAAACGGGTGGGTGGGCGGGGCTAAAACTTGCTAGGATAGGACTGAACAATATTAAGAGTAGTCACTGGAATGAAGAGAGGGTGGGTGGGCGGGGCTATTACTTGTTTATAAAAGATTCTGTAGGAAAAAGTTAAACTTAACCCCGCCCACCCACCCGTTCTCTAATTTTTTTCTTTAGAAATAAAAAATAAATGTTATAGCAAATAAGTAGAATAACAGAAAACTACGATTCATGTTTTTTTAACAGACTACGTTCTATTAGTTCCCATTTTCACTTCACAAAAAACATACAATTTACCCCGCCCACCCATCCATTCTCCATTTCAGTGATTCATTTTATCTAGTCCGAATGAAGGGTGGATTTTAATTGATGAGAGACAAAATCGTTATAATGAGAACAGCGTGTGTGGGCGGGGCTAGAATTTGCTAAGATACGATTGATTTTGGTAAATGACATACCCTCTAAGAAAATAGAGGGCGGGTGGGTGGCGCTAGTACTTGCTAAGATAAGATTGATTTTGGTAAATGCCATTCCTGTAAGAAAAAAAACGGGTGGGTGGGCGGGGCTAAAACTTGCTAGGATAGGACTGAACAATATTAAGAGTAGTCACTGGAATGAAGAGAGGGTGGGTGGGCGGGGCTATTGCTTGTTTATAAAAGATTCTGTAGGAAAAAGTTAAACTTAGCCCCGCCCACCCCCCCCGTTCTCTAATTTTTTCTTTAGAAATAAAAAATAAATGTTATAGCAAATAAGTAGAATAACAGAGAACTACGATTAATGTTTTTTTAACAGCCTACGTTCTATTAGTTCTCATTCTCACTTCACAAAAAACATACAATTTACCCACCCCGCCCACCCACCCTTTCTGCATTTCAGTGATTCATTTTGTCTAGTCCGAATAAAGGTTGGATTTCAATTGATGAGAGACAAAA